AAGATGAATGACTCTCCCCCTCTTTCGTGGCCTCTGGGCAGAATCATAGAAGTCTGTCCAGGTCCAAATCAGGTGGTTCGTGTGGTGAAGGTGCTCACTAAACAGGGAGTGTTCACTAGGCCTGTGGTCAAATTAGTTCCTTTACCCACTGATCCGTAGGTAACTTCGTAAACATATAGTGCTCCCTATTATTATGTACACACCTTGTATATACCTATGTGATTATAACTTAGTTATAATTATTATTTTCATTATCCACATCGCCTGCTACCTTTGTTTGTATTCGGCTGCTCGGCCTCCGGGCCGGCGTGATGGATAATCAAACGCTCAAGCTGTGAGTATTATATCTATGATTCATATTATACTATTGATTTGTCTTTTTATAAAAATTGTATTACCATTTGTAACTGTTGTGATAATAATTAAATTGTTCCTTTTAATTTTAACGTTTCAGTTAGTAATATTAATTTAAGAATTGTGTGTTAACCATGTTGTTAAATAGTTTTAATTGCTCTGTTAAAAAAAAAAAAAAATCTTGTGTACTGGTCAAAGACCAATTTGCCCGCTTGTGAAACCCCTGCACCGCTCTGTGCAGGTAACTGTCAACTGTTCCGTTCGACGACTTCAATCAACTGCTCCGTTCAAATGATGAACTGCTCCGTTCACTTGTCAACTGTTCCGTTCGACGACTTCAATCAACTGCTCCGTTCACTTGTCAACTGCTCTGTTCGACTACCTCGGCCAACTGCTCTGTTAGAATGCTGAACTGCTCCGTTCACTTGTCAACTGTTCCGTTCGATTGCGCTGCTCAGCTGCTCCATTCAAAGGCCTGACTGCTCATCACCTCCTGTCAGCTAGATCGAATTTTTCTGTTGCAAGTTAGCTGGAACTTGCAATGGGGAGTATGTTCGATCTTTTTTCGTAAACAATCTGTCACGGGTCTTGGACTTTGATCCGTAACGGTGTTTGGTCACCCGACAGATTGGCGACACTGTTGCGTCCGTCGCCCTGGTCCGGTAAACGACGCGGTCGCCGCCGTGTTCAGCCATGTTTTGTTGTTTTTGGCCGTTCAAGCAGTTCGAAGCTCCTCGTACATTTTTTGCGTATTACGTAAAAATACGTTTTTTTTTTTGGTGTGTTTGGTCTGCTCCGCCGCTCACTGTTTTGTTTAAAGCATTGTATTGTGTTGTGCTTTCAACCGTGCGAATTTTGTCAGCTCTGACCTATCAAGTGAGTTATTTGCTCTACGTAAAAGTCGCGTCCCGTTCGCAACGACCCGCTCCGGTTGCGTATTGCCACCCACGTGGTTGTTCCTGCTCCGGAATCTATCTCAACTCCAGTGTGTTGCAGAGCGGTGCTCCCCGTCTCCCATTTTGTCCGAAATAATAATATTATATTAATACATTCCGTATAGTTAAATACATGTATAATATTGTAATTCGTATTTGTTTGGTATTCATTATTTAAATCTCCCCTCACGACGGTCCGGAGTTCCGTTGCGACTAACGTACGCCCCGTAAAGCCCGTTAGTGCAAACATTTTGGTAGCAGAGCGTGGTTTGATTGCTTTTTCAGACTTTTGGTACTCTGGTTCATAGTGAGTAAGTAGATTTATTGATCATATTTCTGTAGATATAAGGTGTGTACATTTATTTATCCTTCCTTACCCTTGTCTATATTATTAATGTATTTAATCTAGTGGTTTATAATAAATTGTTACATTAGTATATTTTGACTGTTCTGTCCTTATATTAATATATTCAGTTTAGTATACTCTACGTTAGACTTTCATTTAGGGTTTAAAATAACAGCTCAGTTATTAGGATACTGTAAGAGTGTAAGGTGTATTTAATATTTGTTAATGTATTAATACACACTCTGAATTTGTTTTATTTGAAATTAATAATTGTTATTGATTCAATTACATTGAATTATTTATTTGGTGGTCCCCAATGTAAGTCTTATTAGTTTCAAGTATATGATTTATGTACTGCCCACAGATTTAGTGATTAGTTTTGTTTATTATGTTTATGATATCCATGCTCTGGTGGTTATCCTGATATTAACTTAAGTTAATTTAAATCTAATCTCAATATTGCAATTAATTGAATAATCATATACCACAGTGCTTTCTGGGTTGAATTAATTATGTTTGTTTTTTTAATATTGTTTATTAGATATAGGTTTCTGTTCACTAGTTGATGAGCTAGTTTACATTTATTTTTATATTTTACATTTTTTGTTCAATATATTGGGTTGTATTTATTGTATTACTAGCTGGCTGTTGATAGTTGAGTTTTTAATAGCGTTATTGTTAATGTAACAGCTGCTAGGCTCTTGACACTTAGTTTCGGATCTAGGTGTACGTGCAAGGACCATACCAGTGATCAGGTACGGTATTATTACATTATATATTATTATTTAAGTTTGTAGTTTATTATTCACTTTGATTATTTTTATGAATATATTTTGTATGTGTGATCTTGCATAGTTAGTCGCTCTTCTATTTGTCAGTTTGTTATTACCATTCTCATGCTTATTATATATTTGATTGTTTTGATCATTGCTGTTTGATCTTGGTCATTTTGTTGATCTATTATTGTATTTAATTAAGTGTGAGGTAAGTGTAAATTATTGTTGGTATAGTTGTTGCCTATATCAATTCCCATATTTAATTCTAACTTACAGAGTCGTTGGTTACACATTGTTCGTGACTGTTCGTATCGCTGCTTAACGTTTTCCTTGCATGACTTCACTATTATAATTATATCGGATTGAGTTGTTATCGTGCTTACAGTAGTCTGAGTTACTTGTCGCTGACTATCAATAATTGAATTAATTCTGTCTGGTCTTATTGTTGTTGTTGGTCTTCACCTTAGATATTAGTAAGATTATTAATATGGGTGACTCAGATCGTGATGCTCGTGCGAAGGATCGTGCCATAGTTCGGAGAGATAGTGTAGTAGCCAGGATTCGCCAGATTCACCAATTGGCTACCAGATCCGCGACTGACCAGGCAGCTCGGTCTCAGTTAGCCGTTGCCATTCAGGATCTGGATGCATTGTGGGCCAGCTTTGTGGTGGAAAACACTAGTTTGTTAGATTTATTGTCCGAATTGGGTTTGTTGGCAGAGTTTTCGGTAGATCTGGAACTTGAGACTCGAGCGTTAGTAGTAGAAGCTAAAGCTTTATCTAATGCTAACCAGCCAGCTCCGGTTGTAAGCATAGGTGCAGTTCATCAAGTATCCTATGAGGGCCCAGTTGATAACTCAAGCTGCTCTGCAGGGTCATCAAAAGACTGTTCGTCGTCCTTCGGTCAAAGGGCGTTGGCGCCTCCTAGACTACCAGAAATACCTCTTCCTTATTTTGATGGTGAATGCCAGAATTGGCCTGCCTTCCGGGATAGGTTCAATATGTTGGTGGCGAAGGATCCTAATATTTCGAATGCATTCAAGTTCTATTACCTTATAGGTTGCCTTCATGCAGATCCGCAGGAGGTAATTAAGGGGTTTACCGTTTCGAATGATTCGTTCAATCTGGCTTGGGACGCTTTAGTTGAGCGGTATGATAGACCGCGCATTTTGGCTTCGTCGATAATCAATAAGTTGATTGCGGCCCCTGTCGCTACTTCAGAATCCCTTGCTGCCCTGCAGGATTTCTTATCGGTCTTCGACGAGAATATTGCGATATTGGATTCACTTCAGATTCCGGATCTAGCGTCTTTTCTGTTATTTTCATTGGCGGCTAGATGCTTACCCACGGCTTCAAGACGTCTGTTCGAGTCAGAGAACAGTGAAGAATATCCTTCAGTCCACAGCGTTATTAAGTTTGTCAAATCCCGTTTGCAAGTGTTCGAAAATGCAGGGACACAGCCGTTTGGAAGCACCTCCAAACCGATTAAGCCAAAGTTGCAAAGTCTTCGGAAAGATCCAAAGGTTGCGCTTGTTTCAGCTTCGAAACCCGCCCCTCCGAAATGTCAGTTATGCTCTGGTGCTCACCGATTAGCTGATTGTGTTAAATTCAAAGCGGCATCCGTTGACGAACGTTATAATACTGTCTGTACGTATCGACTGTGTTTGGTTTGTTTTGGAGAAGGTCACATGTCCTACAAATGTCCAGTGTCTTGTTCCATATGCAAACGTAGGCATCATGCCTTACTACATCGAGATGCGAATCCGAAGAAGCCCAATCCGCCAGCTGCTCTGCTAGGCCGGTATGAAGCGCCCACCGTTCTATTGGGCACAGCCTTGGTGAAGGTTCGGGATACAGTGGGGAGCTTCAGGACAGTACGTGCATTGATTGACTCCGCGTCGCAAATTAGCGCGATTACATCCGATTGCTCCAATCGACTGGGTCTATGCCCATCGCGTTGGACGGTTCCGGTCACGCGTTTAGCAAGCCAGAAGGTTCCTGATGTGCAGGGTTTTGTTCAACTGGTTGTTCAACCTCGCAACTCATCGACACCATCCATCCAGGTTAAGACTTCGGTTCTGTCATCAATCACGTCCAACATGCCTGCTCGGGAATTACCAAGTCAAGTTCGTGCCAGATGCGGTGATTTGTTCTTAGCTGATCCAATGTTTGACCAACCAGCTCCGGTGGAGTTACTCATTGGAGTGGATATTTTTCCCCAAATTTGGAACGATAAAAGTGAGTCACTGGGCCTAGGATACCCATCTGTTTATAGCTCCATATTCGGTTGGGTGTTAATCGGTCCTATTCAGACTCATCCTGATGTGGGTGCCCAATCCATGCTTATGTTGTTGGTGTCGTCCATGGAATCCATGATGGAAAGGCTCTGGAATGTCGAGGAACCGGAGGTTGCTCCACCTCAGTTCACTGAAGATGGCCTGTGCGAGAAACTATTCAGCTCCGAAGTTTCCCGTGACAGTCAAGTTCGATTTTCCGTTCCTCTTCCTTCCAAGGAAGATCGTAAGTCAGAAGAATTTCCAGGCTCACGACAGGTAGCCTTCAATCGTCTCCTTCAATTGGAAAGAAAATTATCTGCAGATAAGATTTTGTATAAGGCATACAACAATTTCATGTCAGAATATGAAGATTTGGGGCATATGAGTCTTGCAGAAGGTGTTGGTCAGTATTTTATTCCGCATCATGCAGTCCAAAAGATGGAAGGAGACAGCGTGAAGTTGAGAGTGGTCTTCGATGCTTCCGCAAAATGTCACTCTGGACTCTCCCTGAACCAATGTCTGATGGTTGGACCAAAGCTGCAGCAGGATATCGTTGACGTGTTAATCGGGTTCCGAGTACACAAGGTAGCTTTTACGACCGATATTTGCAAAATGTACCGTCAGATTGACGTGTTGCCGCAGTATCGAGGGTATCAGTATATACTTTGGAGAGAATCGCCGCAACTAACGGTTAAGGAGTACTCCCTTAATACGGTTACGTATGGGGTAAATTGTGCTCCCTATTTGGCCCTGCGTGTCCTCCGTTATATTGCCGATACGGAATGTGAAGACCTTCCCGATGTCCAGCGTGCTCTACGGAATCAGACGTATATGGATGATATTTGCGTGGGTGCGGAGTCATTGGAAGCTGCTCAAGCTCTCCAGTCAAACCTGATCAAGGTGTTGGCCCGATCTGGATTGCAGTTAAAGAAATGGTCTAGTAACTCACTGGAGTTATTGAGTCATTTGAAACCGGAAGATTGTTCTCAAGACCCTTTGATCTTCGATCAAGATAATACAGTACAGGTGCTGGGAATGCGCTGGAATCCTAGTGGTGACTATTTTTCCTTTTACACCAATAACTTCAAGTTAGTCCTCACTAAACGAGGCGTGTTGTCCATGATCGCCAGGATTTTCGACCCGCTAGGTCTGCTCTCTCCAACTATTTTCTATGCCAAGACAATTATGCAACGCCTGTGGCTCGCACAGGTTGGTTGGGATAGTCAGATCCCTGAAGACATCGCGAATGATTGGTGTAAATTTCACTCTGCTCTGAGTTGGTTGCGGGAGATTAAAATCCCTCGTTACGTCGGTAGCTCCACCGGCTGTAGCTACATTCTTTGTGGTTTTTGTGACGCGTCCGAAAAAGGTTATGCGGCAGTGGTCTATCTCCGAGTGACTGATCCGTCAGGAGATGCGTCCATTTATCTTTTGGGCGCCAAAACGAAACTAGCCCCAATGAAAACCATGACCATCCCGCGATTGGAGTTGAGTGGCGCAGTGCTCTTGGCGCTATGGTTAGCCAGACTCAAACGGATCCTAGATTCTCATTTGGCGTTATCCGAAGTTTATGCATGGACTGATTCATCTATAGTGCTGTCATGGCTCAACAACCCGCACACTTCCTTCAAGATGTTCGTGTCAAATAGGATTCACCAGATTCAATCAACGGTGCCTGGTTGCAGCTGGCAACATGTACGTTCAGAAGATAACCCAGCCGACTGCGCTTCACGAGGGCTATCTCCTTCCGAGCTTCGGAAGTGTAAACTGTATTGGCAGGGACCCAGGTTTTTGAAGTCTCCAGTTGAAAGCTGGTCCCGAGATTTCCCACGCCTCAAGCTGGAACAATTGCCTGAGATAAAGCCTGTATGTTTGGTGACCCGGGAAGAGCCGCCTTGTGAATGGTACACTCGCTTTTCGTCATTTAATCAGATGATCCGCGTGACAGCTCGGTTACGTCGGTTCATCCAGTTGTGTCGGAAGCAAAGGGTCGAGTCAGGTTTTCTGAGGCAGTCGGAGTTAGATGCTGCTCTGCATGTGATTGTGAGACATTCTCAGCAATGTTATCTATCGGATTTAGTAGGCTGTTTGAAACGTTGGAACCCAATACAGTCTAAATCCTTAGCTCGCCTTTGCCCATTTTTAGATTCGAATAATCTGATTCGTGTGGGTGGGCGCATGCAGAACTCCAATTGGTCGGAGCGTCGTAAACATCCCATGTTGGTTCCAAAGGAGTCCTATCTTGCGGTTCTGATTGCTCGTCATTGGCACCTCTATGCATGTCACGCACGACCTCGGTTGCTCATTGCGCTTGTTCAGCGACAGTTTTGGGTCATCGGAGTCCGAGTTGTGGTTCATCGGGTAATCCGGAAATGTTTAACATGCGTGAAGATGTCTGCGGTTAATCCACAGCCCGTCATGGCTGCTCTGCCAGGTTTCCGGGTAAGGGAAGCTCATCCCTTTTCTATAGTGGGAATCGACTATGCTGGCCCTTTGCAAATGAAAGAGCTTAGCTTGCGAAGGTCGCGAGTTGCAAAAGTATACATCGCGGTGTTTGTTTGTATGACCACTAAAGCCGTTCACTTGGAATCTGTGTCCGCTCTGTCAACGGATGCATTCCGATTGACCTTAGACCGATTTGTGGCTCGTCGGGGTCTACCTACGTCGATCTACTCAGATTGTGGTACTAATTTTGTCGGTGCAGCTCGGCAGTTAAGGCAATTAGTCAACCACCCAGATAATAGGGATAAGTTAACGGCCCATATTGCCTGTGAATGGCATTTCAATCCTCCTGGAGCTCCCCATTTTGGAGGTATTTGGGAAGCAGCCGTTAAATCCGCTAAAACTTTGCTAACGCGCGCCTTGTCTCCTCAAGTTTGGACGTTCGAAGAGTTCACAACCATTTTGTATCGGGTAGAAGCAGCCATGAACTCTCGACCTCTAGTACCAGCTTCAACTGATCCAAGTGATCTGGAATGTCTAACGCCTGGTCACTTTCTGGTTGGCCGTCCTCTGTTGGCTATTCCTGAACCTGTAGATGATGCTCACATAGGTTTACAGACTCGCTGGAAGCTCCTCCAGCAGTCGTTCCAGTTTTTTTGGCGTCGTTGGTCTCGCGAATATCTGTCCACCCTCCAAGCTCGTGGTAAGTGGGCAAGGTCGGAAATCAATGTCGAGGTAGGTAATATGGTAATCATTAAGATGAATGACTCTCCCCCTCTTTCGTGGCCTCTGGGCAGAATCATAGAAGTCTGTCCAGGTCCA